AGACCGACTGTCAACAACGTCTGATCGTGGCCGTGACGTCTCATAGACTAGGGTTAGAGTAGCTTTCCTTTGGCAGGGCAGTTACTCTAGCGGACAGACCGATGGATTGCCGCGAAAGGCACATAAAAAACAATTGTTGTTTTGCGTATATGTTGCTTCGCCACTGGATAAGAAACAGATTTCAGTTGGAACTATATTGGCTACTGTCACTGTCTGACTGACACATCACTTACCCTATGACGTAATAAATATTAATGCGCGCATTCCAGGAAAACTCGCAATGTTTCGGTAATGTTTGTGAGAGCACAGAATTAAAGAATGACATTATATGATAAAGAGGTTATCACGCTTGTGTGTTTGGGGATGGTAAATATCCTGTATTAGGAATAAACACTATGTATTTAGCTTGCCAAGGCTTGCTAAATACAATGTTTATTCCTAATGCAGGATATTTACCATCCCAAAACACACTCGCGTGATAACCTCTATGTATATTAACTGTTGTGAATTATGTACCCTCACTAATTTGTTTAGCTACATGAATGTTCCACTTTTTCAGTGTCATACGTACAGTCACTTCGTCACCGGGTCCGTGTTTTGTCGACATGCATTGGAGTTGTCCTCTTTGGTGTTGGAATTGTAGTGGCCTTCATTATCATCAGGTAATGCATCCTTTGTTCTTATACCAGAATGTCCAGCAGTGCATGAAGAATAAGTAACGTAAGTATCTGCAGGTATAGACTGAAGAATGCATTGAAATGTATCCCTGAACATTAACATTAATGTTTCAACATGGTCAATCTCATAGCTTGGTGGGAATAAAATGTCTTTTATTAACAGTAGATCCTAATTGTTACTTCAGAAACTTGGTCGTGACTTAAATTGCTAATTAATGAATTTGATGTTCCAGAAAAAAGTGCACTCGATCTCCAAGGGGCATTTATCTCTCCCCTGTCCGAACTGACCATCTTGATTCGGATGACATTTCACTCCAAGAGTTCAGCGAGAACGGTGAAAGTGGACAATCTCACTATGAAACTATTCCAGACGATTCCCAGGGAGGATATGAGGCGCTTACACCTTCAACTTCACGTACTTCCGGGTACACAGCTCTGCCGCCGTCGCTTGATAATGTCCGGGTGACAGGGGTCTAAATATTCCATTTGTTTCATACTTTGAGTTGTGTGTTGAGTTTCTATTTGACGTTCCGTCTTTTGCCTACCACATATTGAAACCGGCGTTGACTATAGTAAACGCATAGGGCAGATGTTTAACATACACACTTACCTGTTCTATCAAGTCGGAGAACTTCAATCATAGCCTTATGACACTTTAGTTCGCTCCGACCGTATCCGTGGTCTAGTGGTAGAGCGTCCGCCCGGAGAGCGGAAGGTCCGGGGTTCGATCACCGGCCGCGTCATACCAAAAGGAGTTTGAATATGGTACTTGTTCGGCTCGGCTCGGCGCTCGGGTTTAAGGGGCTAAAACAAGGACTGGTCGGCTCGGACTCAGTATACTGTGGCTGAGTGGGGTATTCATGTTAAACTGCGGCATGGTATCTCATTGTGTTAGCACAATAAATCGGCATCAGTCCGGACTAGTACAAGCAGCCATACTCACACACCTGTATGCACGTCGCTATATAAGTGCAATAATCTTGGACGCGACATTAAACCCAGTTTCAACTCACCATCCTTTAGTTCTCTCCACGAATGTATTGGACCACGAGCCTGTATATATCTATACATTGCTTATAAGGTGCAAAACTTTGCTTCCATCTCCTAATATATGTGTAAGGTATAACGTTGGGCAGTCAAGCTGTATGTGCTGATCCCCTAAACTCTGTACAGTTGCAAGTTAAGCGGTAGTTTGGCTTATCGCCATAGGTTCTTCTGAGCTTGACCTTGGAGATCATAAACCAGAAACAATGAGTTCTCATTTCACCAGCAGTAACAATTCCATTTTATTTGTTTTAATTAGTAACAACAGATAGTAGTTTACATGAATATATTGTTTGTGTTTATGAAACTGCTTTTAACTCAATAAAATCAACTTTCAATACATTGTTTCTTGTTTCAATTACCAGCATGCATGCAACAGAAATTTGTTTTCAGTTGTCTTAGTCCGTCTTAAATGTAGATACAGAAGTTGATATTGATGACACACGTTAACCATCAACATACAAGGAAGGCATACTATATCAATAACGTGTATGTATGTATTCACATTTGACACCATCTAGGTGGAACTCACATTCTTTTTTTGTGTGGTCAAACCTACGCTGTGTATAATACGTGGGCTACGAGTAAATGCAGATAATAAACCTGTCTGGAAATAAGCGTTTTAATTTGAAAGTTGCTAAAGGTGCGGTGAAAGTCAATTACTCACTTACTCGACTATACGTAGCATATCCATATCATGTATCAATGCTAGGGTGAAAAGTCAACTTTTTAGCACTAATGTCTTCTCACGTCAAGTTATCTAACTCTTGTCTTTGTCAGTCCTTAATCACCAACCTCCTAAAAGACTAAACTGACGGACAAAAGAAAGTATACACCCATGTTTGATCGTGGCAGAGGCTGGAACAAGCAAGAAATGGTTATTCGATGGTGATGATGTATTTCATACGGGTGACGCACTTGTGTTCTGGAACTTAGGTTTGCAGCATTTCGGCGACTCTAGTAACGTTTTGATAACGCTTGTAATGCGTTTGGGTCAAATATAAACATATTCAAGTCCGACAGTTGACATGGAAAGGTTGTGACATGCATACATTACGTGAAACCCAAAGAGTTAGACGTCTAAATACTACCGAATTATCATGTGAATAAATTGGATATTACATGTTGAATACTATTTCAGTTATATCATTGCGTGTTAGCGTTTTAGCGTGTTAGCGTTTACTGCTTCTGGAGAAGCCTATGGCAAAGAATACACTACTTACACATCAAAGATTATAACTTTTTAAGTGGAGCATAGCAAGGATTCGAACCCTCGACTAGCATATTCTCGTACAGCTAAGGGGTGCAACTCTACATAGCGAATTGTGGCGTCTTGTGTTATGCCACATGAACATGACCTGTCATGATTATATACAACAAAGTTTAACTGTGACAAATATAAGCGACAAAATTCATTCTATACTCATAAGAAATCTCTGACAAAAACAAAGACGATTGTGCGATGCCGACTATATTATCAGATGGGTTTATGAATCACTATTAATTAAGAATTATCAATATATATTCTTTTATCACAATTGTTCACCTCAATTGTTGTAGACCAACATATGTACACAATTTTATTTAGAACGTGTGACGTCATGTTTACACTGATAGCTATACAAATACAGCTGTATCGCGGAATAACATAGTTCCTCAAGAAGAGAGACATGAGCGTGTGTATGCACATCTTGCTCTTCAGAAACACCTGACAGAAGACTTGTATTCAAATAATATCACCATTAGATGAGAAAGGATGAGATGAGGACTGTTAAGAACTACCTCAGTAAGTCAGTCACAATGGCAGAGGATCATAATTATACATTTACATCAACTACAAGACGCCAAAATGGCCGACACGAAAACGTGACGTTGGAGATTTCGGAAGTTGTTAATGAACCTGTGGCGGTTGCATGTTTTAGTCATCATTGATCAATTGGCTGATCATTGAAAGAGGACAAAAGATGTATCAAATAGACACTAAGATAAATTCATAGATTGCTGTAGACTGTCACTGTTAGCCTAAACACGAATTGAGTCAATGCTATGATAGTTTGGATGTGCATTTCTTCGGTTTGTTCACTAGGATGAGTCGCAGCGAGGATATTCGTGAACGATCATGCAGTCAAACTCTGGTTTCAAGACGAAAGGATCTCAATTAACATAAAGAACGCTTCTGTATGTATTCATGCTTCGGAATTGTAAGGGGTTCACACAGGAATGTGAAAGTAGTCCGTCAGTGTTTACGTCATTTCAAGAACACGGTCAATTCCGCAGTCATGTGGAAAAGCCGTATATCATGTAAACTTCAAATTTATAACTTTTTATATTGATAAGACCAAGTGTTCGCGAAATGGAGAACCTATCCTGCTCCACTTTAAAAAAACACGGGAACATCAAAATAGAAATAATATTTGTCACTGATGAGTCAAATTTGCATAATGTCCTCCATTACAACTGCTGTAAAACCTTTTGAAAGCTGTATTTGGGACTTGAATGTTGTAAATATGATCAAACAAGGCTGGAGCTGCTGTAAATGTGCACTACATAAAGGCAAAGTTGACTATTGGAACGTTAAAGTCATGCCTCTTGTCATACAGTCTTGTGGATAGTTTTTGTCACTCTATATCTTTATGCAAAGTTCTAAGTAAAAACAGAATATTGTACATGAACTGCCAGGGACGAGCTCTTCGCAAAATGTTACAAATTCACATATCTTCTCAAATATCTCATCCGTGTGCGTGTGTGTCTGTTTGTACTACTCCGGACTAATGTGTTGTGTATATTCTAGCCCATTGAGATACCGTGTGGCAGTTTCACATAGACACAACACTCAAACACAGTATACAGACTCCAAGCCGACCAGTATTTGCTCCAGCCAGGGTCACAACGAGTACCATCTTCTCACGTCTTTTACTATGACGCGGCCGGGGATCGAGACTATGAACTTCCGCTCTCCATCATTTTGTGCAATTCCGGCAGCACAGTATTATAATTGAATTGAATTTATGGTATCATAGAAGCTTGAGGGAGTTGCTACTTTCATAGAATACTTATGGTATGTGATAATTGATAACAGATGATTGCAATAGTTCACTTAAAAAAGAATTTGTCAGAATATATGGTCACATGCCCATCCGTGTCATCGTGAAAATACACGGTAACGTTATAAAAAAATTGAAAGCAAATTTCAAAAAATTTTATGCCATGCTTAAAATGTGTATAGCTACATACATATTTCTTCCTTGTTGATAATTTCAGTTTCTGTGATAAATCTATTCCGCATTCTGTGCAGGGAAACGTTTAAATCAGTATACACACACAGCGTCTGGTTATTCTTTCTCTGTTGCTTATATTGCACTCAGGACGCTGTATATGCAGAAAACATGAAGGTTGGTGCTGTACATTATGCTTCTTAAGATATGGTTTCTTCTTACGTTTGATTACTTGATTGTGAAGTATTGCTTCCTTCATGCATTATGTTGGCGGTTGGGTAGCCTAGTGGTTAAAGCGTTCGATCGTCACCCCGAAGACCCGGGGAAGCCCATTCCTGGTGTCGCCCTTCGTGATATCGTTGAATATTGCTAAGAGCGGCGTAAAACCATACTCACTCACTTAATGCATTATGAGTTAAAGCTGGCAATGAATACACTGTCCGTAGTCAGAGTATGCGAAATGAACAACTTTGAACAACCTCACTCTGTTATTTCCAGCATAATGTATTTAGTTAATGCTGGTGATTTATTATCGTGACTTGTCACGTCCTTCAATCTGTGTAGTGAGATGAGCCATTATCATCTGAAATCATCATGTAAAATAAACTACCTTTCAGGTGTGTATTGTGCTCTTCGTGTCTGCATGCATGCTGGTGGAAGCCGAATCCGGTCTTGCTAAAGGTACATCACTCTGCATGTCATTGTGTCAAAAAATACATCTATAGTCTCCAGGATCTATTGTCCTGTAGAAACTGCAAAAAGCAAAGTCATAACAGTAACGTTAAAGTAATACAGGTGAGGTGAAATGGGGTTTAACGACGCGTCCAAGATTATTGCACTTATATAGCAACGTGCATGTACGTGTGTGTGTTTGTGTGGCGACTTGTTCTAGTCCGGACTGATGCCGATTTACACAGCTAGCTCACTGAGATATCATGCCGCAGTTTGACATGAATACCCCACTCAGACATAGTGCACTGACTCCGAGCCGACCAGGCCTTGTTTTAGACCCTTAATGCCGAGCGCCAGACAGGGTAACAACAAGTACCATCTTTTAGCGTCTTTTGGTATGACGCGGGCAGGGATCGAACCCAGGACCTTCCGCTCTCCGGGCGGACGCTTTACCTCTTGACTACGGAGGCGGTCTAAAGTAATACAGACGCTGGATGTTGTCCTTTTGACTTCAACATCAATATATCTTTCACGTGATTTTGTATGGTAAATATCTTTCAGACAATTCAAAATGCCAGGATGCATCAGCTGGGTGTAAAGGCGTCAACTGTGACAACCCTGGTATGGCAGATAAGTGCCCGGTGACGTGTGGACGCTGCAACCCCGCAGGTTTAATGTTTTCTTCTATCTGATGTAGTGGAGCCATGTGACTGTACATTGAACCTGAACTGAGAGGCAAAAGAAAGTATACCGAGTTTGCTCTTGTAACCGAAACATGAAAGAAGTTTTGCTTAATTTGATTATGTCTATTTAACAATCACTCATTCCGGCAACACTTTGTCTGGGTACTTTTGTGTAAACCTAAATTGCTCCAATGAAGACTCGGGTAAGAAATATATTTGTAACCACATGACCAGTACCATGTTTGAAATATAAATGTGTGCCGATGAAAGCAAATATTTTGATTTTCTAAGATATGATGTCTAAGATATCCATCAGCAGTTGTGTATTTAACGAATATAACTTTTTATTATATACTTCAGTGTGGAAGACTGAGTTTTCCGAAGTTGAGAAAAGTGATATTATAATTGCAGTGAACACAACACTTTGACGTAACCATTGTCATACGAGAGTTACCTCCCCCTAAATGTCTCCCTTTGTCGTAAGTGACTAGCTCGTATACAAACTACTGACAATCTTTTTGACGTGAGGTCCACATTGACAAGGCAAAATAATGACAGACGGTCGTTTATGGAGTTAATGTCACTTCTTGCCGTTTGTTATTCTCTCGGAAATGTTTCCTTGTCAATCGAGACTGTTCGTTTTGCAAAGGGACATTTTTATTACTTGACAAGCGTGTATTCTTTCGCTTCCAACAGCGGTCTCCTAGTTTTCAAGAATATTTTTTGTTAAAGTTGATTATGTTTATAATCATCAGCTATCAATACCATTAAATGTTTTGGATGAACACCATGCTTGATACTATTTGTTTACGAAAAGTGAAAACAACAGTTAATTCAACGTTCGAGTTGTCTTTAAACTACATTAACAACCATGACATTTCAAAGCTCTTAAAAAAATTATCAAATGTATTTCATCACTGTTTATTGTTTACTTTTTTAACCACCAACTATACTTCATTTGGTATATATGCTAACTGTACGAAGAGGGGAATATTCTGTGACTAGTTCGGAGGCTGGTTTTTGCAGCCCAAATCGTTCGGACGGAGGTTAACACAACTGCACTTGGCATACTCTTACTCAAATTCAACATCGTGTATAAAATCTAACAACATGATCAATGAACTTTAGATTTAATTGGCTTAATACCACGAAAATAACATTCTTTTCTTTTGTAGACTGTGGACCTGGTATGAACTGGAATGACACCACTTGTAAACAATGCTTGGACGGTAAATGGGGACGAAACTGTCAAAATCAGTGCAACAAAGGGTGTTCGGGTGGTACATGTCACTCACTGTCTGGAGAATGTGACACCTGTAAACGGGACAAGTATAACAAGTTATGTGATGAAACATGTGATGCCAACTGCAATAACTGTACAGATACATCCTCAAACTGTCACCGAACAACTGGAGCCTGTCTGTGTGGATGTAGACCAGGCCTCTATGGGGGTAAATGTCTACAACGCTGCATTGCCAACTGTAGATTCAAGACATGTAATTCCTCTGGAATCTGTGTTCATGGTTGTAAGGAAGGATACTTTGGACCAAAATGTGATGAAAACTGTGGAGAATGTGTAAATCAATCTTGTTCAAGAATAGGTACATGTTTGAAAGGTTGCAACAGTGGATGGTACGGTTTGAAATGCAACACCCGCTGCAATTACAACTGTGAACATGCAAATTGTGATCAGAACGGAACATGCATGGCGTGCTTGGTCGGGTTTCATGGCGACCAATGCAACAAAAGCTGTTCTGCTGGATGTGCCACGAGACAGTGTAACAGGGATGGTAGTTGTCAATGTAAAAAGACGAATTTCGGCAAACAGTGTCTCAATACCTGCAGTGTAAAGTGCCTTAATACAAGTTGTAGTCAGACCTCTGGGGAATGTGACTATGGTTGTGTATCGGGCTGGTATGGAGCCACGTGTAGTGACACATGTCCGGACAACTGTTCTGATGGTACATGCAACAGAGACGGTGGATCGTGTCTGTCTTGTAGGGAGGGATTCAGAGGAACACACTGTAACATGTCATGTCCTCCACATTGTGTTGAATGTCAGCAGAATGCCAGTCACTGCACATCATGTGAGCCTGGTTATTTTGGAAACACGTGTAAAAGAGAGTGCGACGGTTGCCTGGATGGGAGGTGTAATATCACAGATGGGTTGTGCATAGCCGGCTGTAAACCAAGCTTGTATGGACGAGAATGTCGGTTAAATTGCAGCAGAAATTGTTTGAGGCAAAATGGTGCCTCGTTGTGTTTTCCAAGTAACGGAACCTGTGTTTACGGTTGTAACACTGGATGGTACAAGGCAGAGTGTGATACTCCATGTCCACCAGGGTGTAGCGGGACTACGTGTGATGACTTCACTGGCAGATGTTCAAATGGTTGCATAGATGCACTGTATGGTCCACACTGTAATCACACATGTAGCAGCAACTGCAGCAATAGTAGGTGTCAAATGGATAGCACTAAGAGGCCTGTACTTTCCTGTACAGTTGGATGTGAAGATGGCATGTGGGGCGACTACTGTGCCAGTACTTGCCCTGACCACTGTCCAAAATGCAACAGAACCATTGGTTCCTGTGTGAAACGTGAGAACTATAGTGAGTACCTTAGATAGATAGAAGGATTGACACACTAAAGCTCGACACGCCGACAGTCATACAAAATAATATATTCCTATCTGTATGAATATGCTCGATAGTCAGTAGAAAGCGTTAACCCTCCATGTACTTATAATAAACTGTGAGTCATAGTAAAGATTAGTATTATGCTGCACATTGTGACGTCACATTTTGCACTTTTCCCGTTAACTTTAAATGTTGACCAAATGCAGGTATGGCTTGTTTTAAACTAATTAGGATTTATGTAAACAAGATGTAATGAGCGAGAGCGGAACCAAAACAGTAGATCAAGACAGTAGTTTCTTGTATCTATAGTGGTACGCCGAGAGATCATGCATTGTCACAGCAATCATCAGGCTCTATAACGGTTTTGGCTTTTTAGTGACGAGGCTAATAAAATGAAGTATATTTTGATATCATTTGAAAACAGATATGGTTATTTCAATTTTTTGTACCACTTCTTTGCGTGAAACTTTTATATTGACGAATACTATAACATATACCTGTAAACATTAAGAGACCAAAAGTAACTCCAGTTCAGATAGTGCTTAGAGGTAAAATAATGTACATTTGAGTTAATTAATTTAGGAATATACTGAGGAAGTATTATGATGATGGAAAACAAGCATTTATACATAAACGTCTGCATGTACTTAACGTTTTATCAGATAGGTATTTCTAAAATCTTTGTTACATAATGTAACTGTACGAATGAAAATGACGTGGGGTTAGTGTGCATTTTATTGCGCTAGCAATTGTTAATACTGGAAAATCGTTGACCATGTTAACAGTTTCGGTTAAGTAATGTGGTTAGAATATTTAATACACTTTAACCTCACATGTAGGTTAAAAGTTAATTCATAAGGAAACATTAATATATGTGCATGTTGGTGTGCTATGTTTACTGCAAATTGATGAGAACGTGCTCATTTATGAATTTCCCTCAGGGACACTTCATGGATGACGTCAGACAGTTTCATGTCACGCAACGAAGTAACAATGCAGTGACGATAAGTAAAAGAACGTTGCGGCACTGCTCGCGTAAAATGGGAAATAATTCTCTTTTTGTTTCACATATAACACTGTATCATTTAAATTGGACTTTTAGTCTATGATTCACGGTTTCACTGCGACAGAAGGGTGACAGATTGACAGTATGACGTTAGAATACTCCCATACATGGCAGTATGTACGAGCAGATGCCATAAAACCATAATGGTATATGCATAAATGAATTAAAGAAGTGAAATTAGACAATGTTCGCGAATCAACTTAATATTTTTACGAAATATTTATGTCCACTTATATCTCCAAAGAAAATCATCAAGTGTCAGATTTCTTCTAACATTGTACGATACCGACTATGTTATAAGTATGAGTTTATGAATCACAATCAAATATTCGGTGATGATACCAGGCGTTCAACATGAGGTCAGAAAATATTATCGAAAACTTTCCTTTACGAAAAGGTTGCAATTTTTTTCATTTATTTGAATACACATGGCTATAATCTTTCTACATTCTCAGCAACTATTCGTGCCGTGTCTTATGTTTCAATTTCGAACTGGGACTCTACAATAATATGCGCCAACAATGCATCGTTTGGTCCACAGACACAATTTTTAAATGGAATGTGCCATAAAATATAAAGGATAAAAATTATATGTACCAAATATTACGCAATGGCATCATAACCTACGTTTGTCTTTTGTGGAAAGAAACAAATAACTTCTATAAATACTGTCGTGTATTTCATATCATGCATTACAGAAACACCTCAAACCAACACTGTTGTCCCTTGGCTGGTGGTTCTGTTTGTGATCATCATCATTCTTCTTATAATGGCTCTATTTGTCGTGAGAAGGTAAGAACAACAAACAGCATGGTCTCTTTTATACGAATAGAAACATGATTTCACAGCTGACCAAACCCAAGTGTCACAGTAACCAAAGACTTGCATCACGTGCAGTTTATTCTTACATTCGTATACCTTTTCAGGTTCTGGTACTGATTGTTATCCTGTGGTTTTTTCAGGAGTAAACCCCACAATATCCTGAAATGGAGATACACTGTCGGTCATTCTCCAAGCAGCACGACTGTAATGTCCCTAATCAATCCTTCGTATCAGTCGACGCCAAGAGGTAACTGGGTATTCGTGAAAACACGGTCAATCAATTGATGACTTAAAAATAATGTCAGCATTATTTTTGTATTAAAATTAACACAATGATGATTTTCTTTGAACAATATATAAAAACAAAATAGATTGCATTGTACTCACAGTTGCTATGATCTGTGTCCAATTGTGATAGTTGTGAAGGGGACTGTACTCCACTGGTCCAATTGTTCCGATTAGTGTCATGTGTGAATCTTAGACAGCATCTAGTTGTTTTAAAATATCGCTAAAACTTCCAACTCCTTATAATGTGTTTCAGGTTCCAGAACTCCTGAGGATTCTGACTACCAAGAGCTAGAGCCACTGACGAATACAGTCAGAGAGGATGATTACATCACACCAAGAGATACAGACGATGCTTACACACTTACGTCTACAGCCAGTCACCTTATCTCCCCCAATGAGTCCGGTAATGATGGGGGATTTACACCTGACCTTGGTCCTCCTCCGTGTCATGTGACAGACGATTCACATCCGGACACCATGTTGTCAACAGAAGTGATGGTGCAAGGTCTGAGACTCTACGTCGAACAGATGAAGAGGAGTGGTGGTTTCACAACGCAGTGCTATGTATGTCAGTTCTTGATTCTATTTGAAGGCATGCAGGGTATGGTATATCAATCATTTACGAATACCTTCCCTACGTTTAAAGGTAGATTTAAAATTTAAAATTTCAGACTTTTCCACATTAGTCTTTTGAGCATAATATATCCATATGTTATTGTTTTTATATTATTATACTCAGTTAATAAAACCATATATATCTATAGCCATGATAATCATTCGTAAACACGAATACGTATGACCTTCAACGTTTTCTTACATTCACTGGTCATTCCTATTTCTGATACTTGAACATGACATGTTTTAGAACCTTCCCTATGGCAAGCTTGGCCCCTGTGACGAAGCCGAGTTACCAGGGAATGCTTCCAAAAACAGATACAGAAACGTATTACCCTGTAAGTATGAGTAGACTTGTTTCTACTATTACAGTAATACCATTACTATTACAGTAATCCCATTACTATTACAGTAATACCATGACTATTACAGTAATCCCATTACTATTACAGTAATACCATGACTATTACAGTAATCCCATGACTATTACAGTAATCCCATGACTATTACAGTAATCCCATTACTATTACAGTAATACCATTATTATTACAGTGATACCATTACTATTACAGTAATACCATTACTATTACAGTAATACCATTACTATTACAGTAATCCCATGACTATTACAGTAATACCATGACTATTACAGTAATCCCATGACTATTACAGTAATCCCATGACTATTACAGTAATCCCATGACTATTACAGTAATCCCATGACTATTACAGTAATCCCATTACTATTACAGTAATACCATTATTATTACAGTGATACCATGACTATTACAGTAATCCCATGACTATTACAGTAATCCCATTACTATTACAGTAATCCCATGACTATTACAGTAATACCATGACTATTACAGTAATCCCATGACTATTACAGTAATCCCATTACTATTACAGTAATCCCATGACTATTACAGTAATACCATGACTATTACAGTAATCCCATGACTATTACAGTAATCCCATTACTATTACAGTAATCCCATTACTATTACAGTAATACCATGACTATTACAGTAATCCCATGACTATTACAGTAATCCCATTATTATTACAGTAATACCATTACTATTACAGTAATACCATGACTATTACAGTAATCCCATGACTATTACAGTAATACCATGACTATTACAGTAATCCCATGACTATTACAGTAATCCCATTACTATTACAGTAATCCCATTACTATTACAGTAATCCCATTACTATTACAGTAATACCATTATTATTACAGTGATACCATTACTATTACAGTAATACCATTACTATTACAGTAATCCCATGACTATTACAGTAATCCCATTACTATTACAGTAATACCATTACTATTACAGTAATACCATGACTATTACAGTAATACCATGACTATTACAGTAATCCCATGACTATTACAGTAATCCCATTACTATTACAGTAATACCATGACTATTACAGTAATCCCATGACTATTACAGTAATACCATTATTATTACAGTGATACCATTATTATTACAGTAATACCATGACTATTACAGTAATACCATTACTATTACAGTAATACCATTACTATTACAGTAATCCCATGACTATTACAGTAATCCCATTACTATTACAGTAATACCATTACTATTACAGTAATACCATGACTATTACAGTAATCCCATGACTATTACAGTAATCCCATGACTATTACAGTAATCCCATTACTATTACAGTAATACCATGACTATTACAGTAATCCCATGACTATTACAGTAATACCATTATTATTACAGTGATACCATTATTATTACAGTAATACCATGACTATTACAGTAATACCATTACTATTACAGTAATACCATTACTATTACAGTAATACCATTAACCATAGAGTCTTGAGATACTGCTTTATGTACATGTCCGCCTGTTAAAGTGCATGCTTATCCGTGAAGTCTTTAATTTATTAAACAAGAACAATTCATGAAATTTGTATATGTGCAATTACAGATCCCTTGATACGCATCCAGTCTTGCGTGCAAAAGAATAATCTTTAATTTATTAAAAAAGTACAATTCAAGAAATTTGCATATGTGCAATTATAGATCCCTTGATACAGTCTAGTGGATCTGGGTTCGTTTGTTCTGACAGAAATGTGCATGTACATCACTCTGGCAGTCAGGAAGTGTGTCTGTTGTTGACACCACTGTCAGCAATGTTCCACTGCATCATGGTTGCATGCAAGTAATCGCGTCTGGACCAGACAAGCCAGTGATAGAATGCATGAGCAATGGTTTGGTTTGTTGTTTAACGCCGCACTCAGCAATATTCCAGCTATATGACGGCGGTCTGTAAATAATCGAGTCTGGACCCGACAATCCAGTGATTAATATCAGGAGCATCGATCCACGCAATTGGGATCGATGACATGCATCAACCAAGTCGGCGAGCCTGACCACCCGGTCCCGTTAGTCGCCTTTTTACGACAAGCATAGTCGCCTTTTACGGCAAGCATGAGTTGCTGAAGACCTATTCTACCCCGGATCTTCACGGGTCTCATGAGCAATGGAGCACGATGGTGTGCAAAGAGTCATGTTTCCGAGTCTGACATCAATATCCTCCTTTAATCGGATCTTTCCACAATGATGGGATCCTTGAGATGTATTCTTCCCCAGCATCCAAAAGAGACCAGTCACACAGTAGGGTCATGTATGTAGTTCAGATACCTTTGTTCACCTTTGTCATCACTGATTTTCAGTTATCCATTCATAGACATGTAATGGGAATGACTCTTTGGCCTTTTACATCTTGTGAAATATGTTTCGGCAAGCGATTTATGTCATATAACGTATGGGTGTATTCGTTCTTTTCCAGATGATCATTGCAGAGTCAAACTAACCCCTATCCCCAACATCCCTGGATCCGACTACATCAACGCTAGCTACATAAACGTAAGTTCTGGAGGTGACATGAACATGTTTCTTTACCTATCCTGCAAAATGGTTCACAGATGATTTGGAACATATACGATAACGATAGAACAAACCAAGACTACTCTCAGCTATGATATTGTGTAACACCTTTCTGGTTAGAATTATTTTCCAGCAGCCCATGCTTGTGAGAGGCGACTAAAGGGTTTGGGTGGTCAGGCTCGCTGACTTCGTTTATACCCGTCATCGTGTTTCAATTGTGTAAATCGACGCTCATGATGTCAATCATTAGATTTTCGGGTCTAGACTCGATTATTAAATGACCTGGACTGAACCTCATATTTTCCTGATGGTGTTAAACTTTATCACGCAACAGATGCCCTATTTGTTGCGTGAACCAACCCTCAGTAAGAGCAACGGCAGAGTTGTCACAACGGTACACAGATAACGGAGTCCGGTCTACCGCGAGGTCTGGTGCGGGATCAGTACCACCACATATGGAATAATGTCTGTCACTAGCCACCAAAAATTCTCAAAATTTGGCAACTTTCTGCAAGGACAGGGCCGTTCAAATAACAGTGACATACGTAGCTCAAATCAACAGCGACCTTCCATCTTCATCATACGGTTTAATCTGCAGTCTTCGCCCTCGTGATGCAACAATCAGAGACCAAACAGATGATGCATAAACATATTCAGTTTTGCTATATACCAGATAACGCTCGGGATAATGTTGTGACTTCGACCGAGGCATCATCGTACATTACCTGATGTAAGACACTGCAAATGTTATCCCAATGCCTTGTTATTGACACTAGTATTTCCTTGTTTCAGGGATACGGAGAGCCACGCACATTTGTAGCTTCACAAGGTAATATTCCTAGCTTGATTGTTTCATGTCAACACAGTGAGTATCAGTTCAAAGAGGAACTTGTTCCAGTTAAACATTTTGAACTAACATACTATTTTTAAGAAATAAACTTTCCTTCTACTTTTCCAGGACCTTATGGGGAAGTTATACGGGATTTCTGGAGGATGCTGTGGGAAATAGATGCCAGTAAACTAATAATGCTCACAAACTGTGTAGAAAACAGAAAGGTATTGAGCAGTGTCATATTCATTTATTCGCAAAGTCTGCTCATGTAGATTCTCCTTAAAAGAACATGTGTATAAGTCTTGTAGCATGACATGTCTGTTCTGAAGCCCTTGTTCTATAGTTTTATCATAAAAAGTTTTGTTTCTGGAAAGTAAACCTTTCTCCGCGTGATGATTTTGTGATACGGATACAACGTGATGTTATTAACTCTGATAATGTTTATACTCAGTTTGATTTACATGTAGATGCTCAAAACACTAAACTCCTCTCGTTTCGTTTGAAGATGAAAAGTGAACTAGTGTTAAATTCAGTTGAAGTTGCGCCCCAATCGCATTCAGTCGTTGTAAATCTATTGCAAAATAATAATTAACTCAATGGAAACAATTCCAATTTGTTTTAAGTTTTATAGGACTTGCATTTTAATCCTCGCACTCCTTAATGTTTTCCAGGCGAAGTGTGAGAAGTACTGGCCCGACTTCGGACAGCCAGGCTCCAACTACGACGATGTCCATGTACAGTGTGTGGCCGAGGAGGAGCTGACGGACTACACAGTCAGGACGTTCTCTATACACAGGGTACGGATACATGTACACACAGTCTCTCCACTGTGATATTGGTCGCATACTGCGAACAGCGAACAGATCTCACAATCTCCATTTGATGGGAGATTTTCACTGCAAGAATATATTGAAAAAATACCATGTGCTTTACAGGAGGCGGAGTTACCTAGGACACTGAAGCAGTACCACTTCACTGCATGGCCAGACAAAGGAGTACCAGAGGATGTCAGGGCGCTGGTGGACTTCCACAGACTGGTCATGAACGCACCGTCGACTGGAAAAGGCCCAGCGGTCGTCCATTGCAGGTACTATCGCCGTGATAAACTTTGTGGTAGGCACATGTATATATAGTGTGAAACAGCGGGTAAGGGGTTAACCCTTTGTCGTTCCATGGTGTCACTTTTACATTGTGGTGTCTTTGTATCCATGTTGGGAATTAAACCCATGTGGTACCATTTGAATACACCAACATCTTCGTAAAATCTTGATACTAAACTGAATTTGTTGAGACCTTAGCCTAAATATTGCCCAATGTGGTACTTGTTATATACTTAGAAAAAAGCATGCGTTCCTGGAGTCTATATTCCCTGAGTAAGTTAGTTGTATTTATCAGTGCTGGTATAGGCCGGACAGGCACGTGGATCGCTCTGGACTATTTGATTGGACAAGCCAAGACGGAAGGTGTGGTAGATGTCTTTGATTGCATTGTCAGGCTCCGGCACCAGCGTATGGATGTAATACAGACTGAGGTGAGAGGAGTTTTATACACCAGTCTACACCAATTGAAAACATATATAAAGTCAGACATCCATGTCTTTACTTTAATTCTCACGACACAATGAGTATTGAATTCTTTCGATATAACTTATTAGTTTTTACTTGTTACACCAAGTCATATGTGTGAATTCCTTCACAAAACTATATTTTTTCCACCAGGACCAATACATATTTCTCCATGAGGCCCTAATGGAGGCGCTCCCATCATGTGACAGGAGACCCAGCCTTGTCGACAACGGTCATGGGGATTACGAAGTCTTGGGGGTAATTATATCTTGTCGTTTTATGCTGACCATACATCTATAATTTTCTTCAAATCCCGATTCCTTCCCTAGGATTCAGTGGTCATACAAGTTATACATTCTACATCCGACTTGTACTACACAGCCCTGTCTCTAATTGTGTTAAAACTAAAATAGATATAAATTTTGACGATGTCTATGACTTTTATAGAAAAGACGTCAGCCGGCAAAGAACCCATTTTTGGATCAAGGTGTCGTAAATCACCATGGCAACGACGTACTACCAGAAGATCCCTTGCGCACCTATGACAGACTGTTGTTATCGCAGGTATGTTGTTTACCGCCGCATTCGTTCCAGCTACTCCACACCTCAGCCGGCCTGTAAATACTCAAGTCTTAAGCAGACAATCCAGTTATCGATAAAAATGTGAGCAACTTTCCATGAGACGATAGCTCATTTCATGTGTTTAGACCCTAAACGTGTTTAGATATAACACAAGAAATGTGTAAACACATTCATAAACATATTTACATCTAAACACATCTGTGTTTACATTCTGAACACATTTTTAGAAATGTAGCGACGATATCAATTGTTCATTGCTATATATTCATGCAATAAATTAATGATTTTTTAGTGTTATGTTATTATATTTTATATGAAGACTACCCCTAGTATTTTTTTATAGAGTGCTTTTTTCAGACAACAGTGACATTGTCATGAGTGGCAAAGATGCCAAGACCGAAATATATAGCCAGTATTAAGCACTGCAAACAGTAGACCCTGCATTTGATCAGTATATCTCGCAATATGGTTGACCTTATGTGTTATATTTCTGTTGTCATTACAGGGCAGATTCAACTGATCTTGACGACAGCCAATCCAGTGTACGTTCCCATAACCCTGCCAGTGGTATCATCCGCTGAAGACGGGAGGCCTCGACGCATAGCCAATCTCTTCTCTTCCAGTCTTGTTTTAATATAATCCAATAATCAATATCGTTGTTCCTTTGATGTTGTTATTATTTTTTACTAAGTTTTCAATAATTGTATTATTAAGTTAATGGTATCCTTCTCGGTTACATTAATGCAACCATTTTGTACACAACTGCACATAACTTGGAAAACGTGTAACATATTGCCCCCGCTTGGTTTTCTGTTTGTTGTTAACAGGTGAGGTGAAGTGAGGTGAAATGGGGTTTAGCGTCGCGTCCAAGATTATTGGACTTATATAGGGACGTGCATGCGTGTGTGTTTGTGTGTGTGTGGCTGCTTGTACTAGTCCGGACTGATGCGGATTTAACAGTGCTAACTCACTGAGATACCATGCCGCAGTTTAACATGAATACCCCACTCAGACACAGTATACTGACTCCGAGCCGACCAGTCCTTGTTTTAGCCCCTTAATGCCGAACGCCAGACAGGGTAACAACAAGTACCATCTTTTAACGTCTCTTGGTATGACGCGGTCGGGGATCGAACCCAGGACCTTCCGCTCTCCGGGCGGACGCTCTACCATTAGACCACGGAGGCGGTCTGATTTAACAGAAAAATTCCAGCTATATGAAAGGGGTCTGTAAATTTTCGAGTATAGGCTAGACAATCCAGTGGCTGACATCATGAGCATCGATCTACACAAATTGGATACGATGCCAAGTGTCAACCAAGTCATCATGCTCGATCACCCGATCCCGTCAGTCGCCTCTTACGACAAGCATGAGTTGCTGAGGGCTCGGAACTTCACAGGGAGAAACTAGCTTGTGAAATCAACATGCCATAAAGCACACCATCTGTCAGTCTCGGAAATTCACGCATATTCACAGCGTGATGAGGTTACAGGTCGTGGCTATCGGGCTGACTTGAGGTGAGCGTCGGTAGAAATATTTCCTGTCAGACTTCAGTGAAACTGAATCTATTTTAAATCAAAGTTTCGTTCAAATCACATGCACACATCAAGAGTTTCTAAGGATTATGTTAGGAGAGTGTTGGTTTCACTCCTCTAAGTTTAGTAATATTGAAATACAAGGGAAATGTTTCTACTGATGTCGTGAAGTGAAAATGTGAACTTTGAAAAAAATTCTCTAATGTCCGTCTGAATGAAAAATGAAAAAAACATCAGATAATTGTTTCATTTTCAATGTACATATGAAGCACCCGGAAATATTTTCGCTCTGGTTGTGTCAAGGGAAATGCATGGTGCGCGCAAAAAGGTGCTCGCCAAATGTGGAGCTGCTGAAATATTGCTTGACATAAAGGGAAAGTTTATTATTGGAAAGTCCCTTACCTTTTAACAATACCTTGTGGATTTTAAGTTTGATGTATATACATTCTCTTAACAATAACCGACTTGATAAATCGACTTTTATGTTAGACTGCTATAATATGAGTTCAAACTTCCCGTTCGTTATTCTGGTATGTGTTATATTTGTATATATTTTCTTGAAAGTTGTTGTTTTTTCAGTCATGATAACCCGTACCCGATCCCATTAACGAGGTATATATATTTTTTTCAGTTTTATCCATTTTATCGACTTTTATGTTAGACTGTACATAGATCGCTATCAAGATGTATAGTAAAGATGTCTTTGTAAATACTTCTCAGCTATAATATGAGTTCAAACTTCCCGTTCGTTATTCTGGTATGTGTTATATTTGTATATATTTTCTTGAAAGTTGTTGTTTTTTCAGTCATGATAACCCGTACCCGATCCCATTAACGAGGTATATTTTTTTTCTTCACTTTTATCCATTTTATCGACTTTTATTTTAGACTGTACATAGATCGCTATCAAGATGTATAGTAAAGATGTCTTTGTAAATACTTCTCAGCTATAATATGAGTTCAAACTTCCCGTTCGTTATTCTGGTATGTGTTATATTTGTATATGTTTTATTGAAAGTTGTTGCTTTTTCAGTCATGATGACCCGTACCCGATCCCATTAACGAGGTATATTTTTTTTCTTCAGTTTTATCCATTTTATCGACTTTTATTTTAGACTGTACATAGATCGCTATCAAGATGTATAGTAAAGATGTCTTTGTAAATACTTCTCAGCTATAATATGAGTTCAAACTTCCCGTTCGTTATTCTGGTATGTGTTATATTTGTATATGTTTTCTTGAAAGTTGTTGCTTTTTCAGTCATGATAACCCGTACCCGATCCCATTAAGGAGGTATATATTTTTTTTTCAGTTTTATCCACTGAAAATGATACGTTATTTTGCGAACTTTCCCCCTCATTTTGTTCATATTCTGATCATAAATAGGTTACTATTTCTTGTACGCATCGTCTCAAAAGACAATGCATCATTTGCTTATATTAATATATTAATCTTATTGAAGAGAAATAAATATGTGCAGCAAGATTGTTCATGATCTGTCCTCCAAAACATTTATTGTGGTTGATTAAAAACTACCTCCTCCTGTGTATTCTCACGCTGGGATCGAAGATGCGAAGAACGAAACAGAAACTGTTTAATGTGGTGCGGAAATCGTTTCAGAAAAAAACATGTGTAGGTCCTGTATCAGTATCGGTGCATACAGGGTTCATCAAGTTTAGCATGAAACAATCCAACTGCACCGTGGCAGTGTTGAAGTCATCGGGCCATGTGACAGTCCTTCATCACGGTAAACATGGACGATTATTGAAACAAACGACCACCTTTTTTATATAAAGTTATTTTCAAAAACAAGGCACCCCACTTTCTAAATAAATTCATCAGTTACACACAGGTTAACTTTCATTTTTTCGCTTGTATTTCCCTGGTCTATTGGATTTTTGTTATTGTTGTATTCACACACGCAAAACTGTCTTTCATTATCATATCTTCGGGTTCTGTTGAGGTTTCGTGTTTAGAAAGATAATTGTTAAACTCTAGGCTATCTGTGACAAAAGGCATAAAAATTCGATGAAATGTTTATGAGAATGTATAATTGCTAAGCCAAGCGTTTTTGAATGAGAAACGTAGTCTATGTTTCGAGGTTTTATAGAGATGTCAGGAAAACGTTCATCGTGTGCTCTCTCAATGAAGCAATTGTTATTTTAATAAGTAGCATTACACGTCTCGGACCACTTAAAAAGCATTGTAGAAATAAAATAATAAAGTGCCCTTTTCATGTAGACTATATGTAAGTGTCCAACGAATACAATTCTTTTATTTACTTAAAAACATAAGTATTAAGCATATGTTTATGTTGGAATTTTTTTTAAAGTCGATGGCCACATAAAACATCTTGTTGTATACATTCTTCAATTGTTCCTTTTGTTGTGTTAATCATGGATTGTTGTATATAACAGAATAAACATTTGTTCAGATCGTTATTTCTTTAACTATTTCCTTAACAAATGCAGTTTGACTCATGGTCATTGTACAAGTTGACATTATTCAGTGTCACAGCGACCTGTGTTATGTAGGTGACTACGCCCCTTAGTCCCTTAAAGACATAACAATGAAGTGGCGAGACACAGTCAGTCAGGCTACACACAACCGCGTCACGGTCACACACACTCAGTCAGGTTACACACAACCGCGTCACGGTCACACACACTCAGTCAGGTTACACACAACCGCGTCACGGCCACACACATTCAGTCAGGTTACACACAACTGCGTCACGGTCACACACAGTCAGTCAGGCTACACACAACTGCGTCACGGTCACACACACTCAGTCAGGTTACACACAACCGCGTCACGGCCACACACACTCAGTCAGGTTACACACAGTCAGCATAGTCACACACAATCGCGTCACGGTGAGACACAGGCAGTCAGGTTACACACAGTCAGCAAGGTCACACACAATCGCGTCACGGTCACACACAGTCAGGTTACACACAGTCAGCATAGTCACACACAATCGCGTCACGATCACACACAGGCAGTCAGGTTACACACAGTCAGCAAGGTCACACACCATTGCTCCACCTCGACAGTGGACCAGGTCACACACAATCGCTGCACGGTGACAGGGAACCAGGTCACACACAATCGTGTCAGAGTGACACACAGTCAGCAAGTTTACACACACAGTGAACCAGGTTACATACAATCCCGTAACGGCGAAACACTCTTAGACAGGTCACACACCATCACGTCACGGTGACACAGTCAGCCAGGTCACACACCATCGCTGCACGGCGACACACAGTCAGTCAGGTCACACACAGTCGGCAAGGTTACACACAATCGCGTCACGGTGACACACAGTCAGGCGGTTATACACAGTCGGCAAGGTCACACACAATCGCGTCACGGTGACACACAGTCAGCCGGGTTACACACAGTCGGCAAGGTTACTCACAATCGCGTCACGGTGACACACAGTCAGCCGGGGTACACACAATCAATGTACGGTGACACACAGTCAGCCGGGTTACACACAGTCGGCAAGGTTACTCACAATCGCGTCACGGTGACACACAGTCAGCCGGGTTACACACAGTCGGCAAGGTCACACACAATCGCGTCACGGTGACACACAGTCAGCCGGGTTACACACAATCGCGTCACGGTGACACACAGTCAGCCGGGTTACACACAATCAATGTACGGTGACACACAGTCAGCCGGGTTACAAACAGTCGGCAAGGTCACCCACAATCGCGTCACGGTGACACACAGTCAGCCGGGTTACACACAATCAATGTACGGTGAAACACAGTCAGCCGGGTTACACACAGTCGGCAAGGTGACACACAATCGCGTCACGGTGACACACAGTCAGCCAGGTCATAAAACAGTCAGCCAAGTCACACACAATCGCTGCACGGGCACACACAGTCAACCATCCGACTATAGAAAAGATTGGATTCCTGGGAATATTCAGGGAGAGACAGGGCTTTACAACTGTATATCGCTGCATAAAATAAATAACCCGATCCTGGAATTAACCTATGAGTATATTTGTTGATTAACCTCGACTGAAATTAATTTACTCATGTTGCCGTTGACGATGTGACACACAGTCACTTTGGGTGGAAAGGTGTAGCTATTTTGATGCAAGTCATACAATTTGATGTAAATGCCTCATAACATAAGACAAATAAAACATCAAGGTAACCATGTACACATCTCAACATAGTGGTATTGTCACCTGAGAGAAGGCTCTGGATACTGCACGTAGTGGATGAAGCGGCAGTACAATATTCAGTTCTCCACCAACCTTCCTATTGTCCCCCGGGCTAACAATACACCGGTATCATGTCGGGATCAAAACCTAATCAAGTGCAAAAAAATGAG